GACACCTGAGTTCTAGCGCCCTGCCAGTCCTTATCAATTCCTATCACTTTTTGCCATATACAGTACTAAATTTGTCCCTGTCTCACAATACATATTACCTATTTCATTGGATTTGTCTAAAAAATCTACGAAGCTCCCATTCTTTCACGAGAAAATGTGAGGAATTTGTTTGCATATGAAGTAAGCAGAGTCTATCGAACGCAGTTTTTAATTGGTCGGAAGAACAATTGTTTCTATCATTGCATTAGGTCAGGTCAAAAAGTATCCACCGTTCTGTATTTCTGGTACTTCCCTGCATTTTTTGGTAAATTCTTCCACAATTATTCAGGCGATTTGGGTGTCATCTTGTAGGAGGGAGCCAGCCTTTCCATATGCATACGGAGGTTCAAGGTGAATTTGAAAACCTTTCTCGTTCAAGAGTTTTTTTCGAAACACGGGAAATCGTGACTTTCGACTGTTGGCAGTTCATGACTTCAGAAGCAGAAGCACTCCAGAGGCGGCTCGCAATATGGCGGCAGCTTTAATATTAAAAGCACTTAAAATATGCACAGCGCGAGGTTACGTCGCCAGGTTTGGGCTTGAAGGAAAGCTCAAAAGTGATGCACGTAGTAAGAGGAATGCCCCTAATATACGGGACTGTGCAAATGAAACGATTTGCAAAACACAGAGGTGCGCACTTGGACTCCACATTGCAACAGAGAGGAGCCGCTTCAGAGTGGGTAATGGTGCAGGCTGAAACTATGAATCTGTACGATGATAATGTAAAGGTTGCTTAATGGTCGAACGGGACTGAGTTGACTTGGAGTATTCCGAAACCCACAGCGCCTCTATTTCCTCAATGTTCGGTGAGGCAGCTCACTGGCAGGTCTAAGAATTGAGTCAATTGAGTCAGCGACGGTGGAGTCTTGCCGTAGAGAATAGAACATAGTGCATAAGAAATTGCAGGGATGATAGTCTGTGTGAACAAATGAGGTTCGATCTGTCACCACGATAGCGCTGGACGGCCCACCGCAAAATGCGCTGTGTAAAATTCATTCAAAAATGAATTCAAGGTTGTTCTGCGATCCTTCCTCCAGTCCAGATATATCCTTCTATTGGGTTGACCCATAATTTCTGGCCGAATTTCAACACTTTGATTTATTCAAGTTTTATCTTTCCTAAAAACAATTGATCAAAAACATAACCACCATCATAATCACTGATATGCACCCATTTGCTAGGGAACGAATGGATGCATTCCTCCCAGAACGAGAGAAGCTGTGAGATGAAAAGCTCGAAGAGGTCGTTTTTGGGGTGGTTGTATTTACTGACTTTTTTCTCTCCTAGCTGCTGCTTCAGGGGCTGAGGAGGTGATAGTACGATGGAGCAACGTAAGGGCTATACGATAGATGTGGTGTCGTGGTCCAGCCAGTTTCCCTCGAAACGTGGCGAGTTATCTTTGCAATGTGATTTCGGGCGGTCCTTCGGAGAAAGGAGATTTTGAGACTTTCGAACCGTTCTCCCGCACTGCTGCGGCCAACTTTGGAAGCTATTCCATGGTTACCTTCGCAATGCTTGTCTGCATAAAGTGAAATGGTTCTCAAAACGGGATACCCAGCGAATCCAACAAAACGGGGTCACATCCTCTGATGAAACAGCTCGGGTTTTGGTTGATGTGCTGCGTCCAGGCTGCGAGGTAGCCACCGGGCGAGCCGCGTGTTGTTATCGTAGGGACTCATGACTCATCTGCACTGGTGACCAACCAGGGAATGTCTTGTCTATACGGTCGCAGAATGAAACTTCTGCAGATGGTCAGGCGTGCTTCTCGGTCCAGTCATGCATGCTGTTTCCATCGAGGCTTCATTCTGCTACAGTCCATTCCATTCAGGTGTCGACTCATGGAGCGTAGGCTGCGCCCAGATGTTTGCTACAGTTTCCTGCTAATAGCGTCCGGATGCACTTCCTATTCGTAGCGCAAGGGGTCCTCATCGAAAGTGATTGGAGGTCCGTGATGAGGTCGAACTTTGCAGCTCCTATCGCCTTTGCGTATGCTATTGAGCCAATAGCTCAGTGCCCGATCAGTAGCAAAGACTGGGGCAAACGTAGCGCTGATCTTGCCTACCGCGCTCCTTGCAAGGTTCTTCTTAAAATTGTCGCAAGGCAAAATCGTTGGGTTTGGTTGTTGATCTATTTTGATTCCTACTTAATTATCCCTTTGCGCACTTAAGCTTCTGAATCATCCTGGCTGAAGGTCCTGATGTGTTCTTCAACATATTAACTTATTTCATCATGAAGCTAATTTGACATGAAGAAAATTGAATCATAATATAACTTCGTGATCCACCAAGGGAATTTCCTAGTCTCTTCGTCGTCAGAATGAAACTTTGCGACGATGGTCCATTGCGTGCTCTCGGCCAGTTTCATGGCCATGCGGTTTCCATCGAGGCTTCATTCTGCTGCAGTCCATTCCATTCAGGTGTCAACTCACGAAGCGTAGGCTGCGCCCAGATGTTTGCTACAGTTTCCTATGCTAATAGCGTCTGGACACTTCCTATTCGTAGCGCAAGCGGTCCTCATCGAAAGTGATTGGGGTCCGTGATGAGGTCGAACTTTGCAGCTCCTATCGCCTTTGCGTATGCTATTGAGCCAATAGCTCGGTGTCCCGATCAGTAGCAAAGATTGGGGCAAACGTAGCGCTGATCTTGCCTACCGCGCTCCTTGCGCTAGTCTATACAGGTCGAAGGCAAAATCGTTGGGTTTGGTTGTTGATCTATTTGATTCCTACTTAATTATCCCTTTGCGCACTTAAGCTTCTGAATCATCCTGGCTGAAGGTCCTGATGTGTTCTTCAACATATTAACTTATTTCATCATGAAGCTAATTTGACATGAAGAAAATTGAATTTGAACCAAAATCGGCCAGAAATTGTCTGTCCTTCTATTTTATAAAGCGCTAACTTTGTGTGTCGGTTGTATGTATGTATGTATGTATGTATGTATGTATGTATGTATGTATGTATGTATGTATGTATGTATGTATGTATGTATGTATGTATGTATGTATGTATGTATGTATGTATGTATGTATGTATGTGTCCGTCCGCAAAATGAAGTGAGTGAGAAGGAACTCATGAAATAAACAAACCGCTAACAAATATATGTAGTAGCTCGCAGGGCATTCGACTGCATTCGATCGCATCCCGCTGCCCGAGCTTCCTAAATGGTCGGCGTCCGTGGAGATATGACAACAATGGGCATTTCTATCTTATCATCGGCATTAGAAGCTATTCGATCGCCAAAATATTCCAAAACATGGTGGATGTTTACGCTGAGTGAGGTCTGATAATAAGCAATACAAGTGATTGAGTTAGATACCCAGCTGCTAGACTTTGTTAGTTAGAAAAATGATGAGTGTTTATTGGTAGTGACGAACTCTGAGAAATTACTGCTTTATCATCGGCTTTCCTTAATACCACCAGTCAAAATCATTGAAACCAGTGTGTTACTCTTTACAATAGCGCGGCCATACTCAGTTTCACTGGGGCTATGTAGACATGCGCGCGATAGCGGGCGGATCAA